CATCCATATCCATCCACCCAGCGTCTGTGCCAACAAGTGAACCAGGAATACTCCAGGCTCTGGAGGTGCATTAATCAAGAACCAAGATTCTCGCTGCCGTGATTCTGTGATGGGCAGTGCTGTTAGCCTGACGGATTCCAGGGCCACCCGAAGATGAGCTTCTTGGCATGCCTGTGGGGTTATCCTGATTGGTGCATTGAGGTGGGGAGATCCACTCACCACTCATCCCTGGGTCCTGGACTATACAGCAGAAGAAGCAAGTTGAGCAGCGGCATGCACGCCTGTATCCACTGCTCTCTGCCTCTTCGCTGCATGTATAGTGTGAAAAATGACCTCAAGCCCTTGCTGCTGTGGCTTCTACAGCAACCAACCACACCGTGAACTGTGAGCTGAAATAAAACCTTGACCTCCAAACTGCTTCTGTTAGAATATTTTATCACAGCAACCAGAGAGGCTACTAAGCCAGGGCCTCTAGTCTCATCTGTTTAGGAAATGAGCCCAAAGTAAAGAACAGGACCCAAACTTTAATTACCGCCAAGAGCTATATGGTAAAACACTCAAAGTTAGATCACAGGTGATTAGGGAGGCTGTTTTGAAATAAATCAGACTAAGCCATGAATGATATCAGGATATGGGCCATGTCTTTAAAAGGAAAAGCCAGCCAGGCATGGTAGCACATGCCTGTAATCGTAGCACTGAGTCACAGGGATTGCCACAAGTAAGAAGCCAGCCTGTATACGCAGGGGGACTTTCAAAAGAAAGAGCAACAGGGCTGGGGGTGCAGCTGGGTATGGCTGGTCCCATGCATGAGGCCCTAGGTAGAAGAAACAGGAAAAATGGAGCCCTTAAAGCAACCAACCTGGATCACCAGGGAGAAAATGTGATGCGGGAGCAGAGAGCGGGGAGGGGGGTAGAAAGGGAGAGGGCACAGGGGCAGGCAGGCCTGCTTTGTGATCATGTAGGCCTCTCATGTACTGGGGACTTTTTTTTCTTTTTGACGGGGTGTCATTCATTTTGGTGCTTGAGTTCCTCCAGACTGGGCCACTGGGAGACTTTCAAGCTATATCCTTTCGAAATTCCCCAGCATTGTCTTCTACACTTTCTGACTTTGTAGCACAAAGTTCAAGGCTCACCCTACAGCTTCCCCGTGCCAGCTCTAGAACCCGCCACTTAGAAAAGGGCACACTTTCAGGCTCTTACCAGCCAGAGTTAGGAATTGTATGTGTACATGCTGTATGTATTCAGTATTTATGTGTCAAGTCTGTGCATATTCATGAATGCAAGTGTGTTTCCATCTTTTAATCACGGGGTCACACTGATGCCACCAGTACCAGCAGAATGCCAGCTACTTCCCCACTGTCCCTCCCTTCTTTCCTTACAGGGTCTCATGTAGTCAGCCTGACTTTAAGACATCGATCCGGCAAGGATGATCTTGAATTTCCAAACATCTATTCTACCTCTCAAGTGCTGATTTTTTGTTTGTTTGTTTGTTTGTTTGTTTGTTTGTTTTTGGAGACAGGGTTTCTCTGTATTGTTTTGGAGCCTGTCCTGGAACTCGCTCGGTAGACCAGGTTGGTCTTGAACTCACAGAGATCCACCTGCCTCTGCCTCCCGAGTGCTGGGATTAAAGGCATGCAGCACCACTGCCCGGCTCAAGTGCTGGTTTATAGGGTGCTGGGGGGTGGAAGTCAGGGCTTTGGTGTGCTAGGCAGGCAATCTACCAACTGAACTCCAAGCGCAACCCTTAGTCCTTATTTTCTGTCTCTCAGAGTAAAAAGTCTAGGTCCTAAAATATCAATAAATTCACTCATTGTGCTCCTTACTGTTCTTTTTTGTTGTTTTTTTAAATTAATTTTTATTTAAATTAGAAACAATCTTATGTTACATATCAATCCCAGTTCCCTTTCCTTCCCATCCTCCCATGTCCCCCGCCCACCCCTCCCCCATCCCACCCTCTTGCCATGACCACGGCAACTCTTATAAATGAAAGCATTCAACTGGGAGCTTGCTTACAGTTTTAGAGTGCCAGTCTATGACTATCACAGTTGGAAACAGATATTGTATGGTCCTAGACCAGTAGCTGCGAGCTTTACATCCTGATCAGCACACACACACACACACACACACACACACACACACACTATGTAGTGTAGTGAACAGTTTGTTTGCTTGGGTTTTTGTTTGTTTTGTTTTTTAAATAGGCTATCCTAGTTTGCTTGTCTGGTGGTTGTGCTAAAACATTGCCCCAAAACAACCTGGGGAGGAAAGGGTTTATTTGTCTTACACTTCCAGGTCACAGTTCATCACTGAGGGAAGTCAGGGCAGGAGCTCATGCTGGAACTGACACAGAGAACTGCAGCTTGCTCTCAGGCTCTCTACTACCTTTCTGACACAGCCCAGGCTCATTTGCCTATGAATGGCGCCCACAGTGGGCTAGGCCCTCCTACATCAGTTAGCAATCAAGAAAATGTCCCTCAGACAGTGCCCAAAAGCCAAACTGATGAAGAAAATTCTTCAGGTTCCCCTACCCAGGTTCCTCCAGTTGACAAGGAGGATTGCTTCTCAATGAAGATCAAATAAGATTGTAGTGACTGAAGAAAAGACGGCGCAGTTCTTCAGGGAGCACACTGCTTCAAAGAAACACAAGTGCAGTTCCCAACACGCAAGGGCCTCACAAAGGCTTGTAATAACTCTACCTTCAGGGGTAGCTGAAGCTTCAGACCTCCCTGGCACTCAAGTGCCCAGAAACACACATAATTTAAAATGACAAAAATTAGTTTAAAAAGAAATAGGTCAGTAACTGAGGAAGAACACTACACATTGAGAAAAAAAATTATGATTAAGAGTAGATGAAACAGGCCGGGAATTGGTGGCACCTGCCTTTAATTCCAGCACTCGGGAGGCAGAGGCAGGCGCATCTCTGTGAGTTCGAGGCCAGCCTGGTCTACAGAGTGAGTTCCAGGACAGCCTCCAAAACAATACAGAGAAACCCTGTCTCAAAAAACAAAAACAAAAACAAAAGTAGATGAAACAGAATATTTACATAACAATTTAAGGGACCCACAGACACAAAGAAGCTTCAGAGAAAGAGAGTGGTGGCAAAGAAAACAGTTATGAGAACATCTCCTGGCTTATCACATGACGACAGCTAAGAGTTCCCACATCAGAAAGCAGGCTGCCATCCAGTTTTGTTGTTGGGAGACAGGGGCTTGCTTTGCAGCCCAGGAAAGAGCCCCTCTTACCACCCTCCTGCCTCAGCTGCTGAAGCTGGGATTACACAGGAGTCCCACCAAGTGTGGAGTTGATTGCTATCTGTTTTCACCTTTCCAAAGTAGTTACAGTTGTTTCTCTGGAGCCCATGTCAAAACAAGAGGCATTAGTTTGGAAGGACAGTTAAGTCACTGCTATATATTTAATGCCAACAGAGTAACTGTGCCCTAGAAAGGGGTCATGGATCTAGGAATGCCAGGGAGGCAGTGCCTGATGGTTGGGTGTATACGGTAACACCGTTAAGTGATACCAATCACACCAGAAAAACCAGCATAGGTGTCTGACATCTAGGAAATTTATGTGTACATGAATGAGTAGCTGAAGATCGCTCCTAGAGCCTAGGACTAAACAAATGTATTCTAGAGAGAAAAGCATGCCTGCTATGGACAGATGGATGTTGCCTTGAATCCAACTTGAGTTAATAGTTACAAGTTCTCACACACGTGCAATGTGTCCTTTGAGAATTGACTGAGAGATGACACAATAATACAGCTCACTGCCCCTGGTCCAGGACAGCTTCAGTAAGTAATACTTCCAATAAACAAGATTAAACTAGTAAGTGAGGTAAAGAAACTTGTAACCAAACCACCCAACTTAAATAACAAGCTTGAAAGGAGACAGAATTCACCGAATCTCCAGCAGTATGTGGTAATGGCAGAAAAAATGTCCAATACTTAGCTCCCATTCTTAGTCTTCAAAGTGTCCCAGGTTCTATTTATAAAGTGTAAAAATACACTCTGATATGTTTATTCTTAAAAGACCAACAACTCAAAATTGCTTCCTGTCTAATGACCATGGGTTTAAGGCATGCCGGTAGGCGAACCACAACACCCAGAATCAACGTCATGGTCAGTAACCTGTAGACACAAGGGATCTGGCAATATTCATTAAATAATATTTTTAAAGTTTCTATTTCAGTTTTAAATTCATCAGCAAACCCAAATGCAAGAATGAGAACTCCTTAAATGTTCTCAATGAAAATATTAAAATATGCAGGAAACTTTCAGAGCCAGCAATGAACACTGGCAGAGACCAAGTATTATTTATTCAGTTTGGTGCAAGCCCTGTAAAAGACCTCCCTCTCATATGACATGTATCAGCCATCACATACAAATACACTGAAAAATACAGACGGTCACTGTTTCAGTTCGCAATATTGAAAGGGACTAATAAATACACTTCAAAGTCTTAAGACAACTCCCTGGTAGGGTGCGGGCTACATTTTTCACCCTTTAAGGAAAGAGAGAGGGAAAAGGTGAGGGAGGAGCAGAGGAAACAAAATCACCCAGCACTGCCACTGGAAGCTGTCTCCCAACTTTGAAAACGCGTCTTCCCTTAGTGGAGAGCAATACACAGCCACACACAGTACGCGGGGATCATTTCTGTTCTGAAGCAGAGAGCGACGTTGGGAGAAGATGAGAAAAGGCTCTTTCCTGTTCTAAACTTGCAAATATCCAAAATCCATTGTCGCCCCCCCCCATTAAAAATAACCAAGCCGCGGGGCATCATATAGGTCTAAAACAAACAAACAACCAAAACCAAAACCCAGCCAGGCTCCAGCAGCCGGTGAGAACTTGGGGGCTCCGCGCTCTGCAACCATCACCGTCTGGGCTCCCCGGGTGGCCGCACCCTCGGGCCGTCCCGGCTCTCGCCAAGCGCCGAGGAGCCCGCGTCCACACGGAAAACCGCAACGCGCCACCCGCGCCCCGCGGCCCGCGCTCGCCACCTACCTGGAGCCCGGCCGCCACCACCGCGCTGCTGCTGGGCGTTCGTTCGGCTGCGGGGAGCGAACCGCTGCCAGGCTCCACCACACGAGACAGACGGCGGCCACACCCAGAGCCCTGCACGCCGGACGGGGCGGGGACCGGGGACCGGGGCGCGGAGCGCGGGGCGGGGGCGGGGGCGCGCGAGGCCCGGGAAAGGGTCTGGGAACGCGCCGAGGCAGCGGCGCGCGGGGCTTGGGTGGGGGCTGGCGGGAGCGAGCGCGGTCGGGGCGGGGGGCGCTCGAGGGGCTCGTAGAGCCCAGAGCGCGCCGGATCTGGATGGAGGCTGCTTGGTGCGCGCAGGGCAGGGGCCAGGGGCGCGGGTGTCTTAGTGGGGTGGGGCTGGCGGGGGCGTGCGTGGCCTGGGCTGGGGTGAACCCGGTGGGCGCGGGCACGGCGTGCAGCTTCTGCCGGGTTTGGCGAGCGGAAAGCGCATCCCTGGCAGTTTCGATTTATCTGTGTGCCTCTGGACGCGCCGTCTAAGCAGTGTGCCTGACTTCTTCCCGCCTGGGCCCGGCCAGGGCTGCTCTGCTCCGGCGGGCTGCAGGGTTAAGCCAGGAGAGCCACAGATGCCCTCTGTGCTTGTGGAGCTCTGAAATCCGAAGTCAGGCCAGCCAAGCCTCCCGGCGCAGCCGTCGGTGACGGCCAGAGATTCACTGGGAACATAAAGCTAGTGTTACCGGTCCCCTCACCCCCCAAAGGTGCTGAAAGCATTTATGAACAAACCAGTGCTCGTACAAAGCCTGTCTCCCACCGTCAGCTCTTGAAAGTTACTGTTATCACTAATGACTGGAAGGCCTTCCCCAGCATCCTGCCAAGTCTTAAACACCACGTGCAACCCCGAGCGACTTTGTTCCCATTTCTCTGGGTGTTTTATACTGAAAATGTCATAAAATAAACGTCTCCTTCCAATTTGCTTCTTCTGCAGGGGCATTGCTCCTGTCCCCACCCCCATCTTTCTTTGGAGTTAATTCCACTTTGACAGACGGTTGCTATAGCATTCCCTCTCTGACGTCAAACAATTTAAAGAAACAGCGCAGGGTAGCAGGATTGCAGCGCTGGAACAGGGTTTAAAAAATATCAGGAGAGCTTTGACACCCCTGCGGCCTTCCATTCCTTCCTCGTGAGCTGCTCCCCAACTTCACCTGGAATAAAATCTACTCACACCTGCAGGCAAGGAGGCCAAATTCAGCTCCCTGCGTGTGACTGGGAAGAAAAGGCGGCCTCCGTGTAAAGGCCACACCACCACAGATGTGGAAATGCGAGGCACCAGGATGATGAAATGGATGGTTTCCCCCCAAAGTTTTGCTTTCCGTAATGTTGGGTGCTTTTTCTCCATTGAGAAGAAAACGAAGAAGCTTCAGACTTATACATCAGAGTGTCAGAAAGGACTGGTGGTTGCGCCTTGAGTAGTCTAATCTTAGTAATAAGTCCTGAGCTATCTCGTTGGAAACAAAGGCAAGCTGGTACTTAGGGAATGCCTATATGTCCTCAGCTTCCCACCTCAGCCTGCCTCCCTGTATGTTATCCCCGTTTCACAGATAAGCAAACTGAGGCCCCTTAAGATTAGTATGTTACATGGAGTCCCGCGGGACGTGCCGCCTGGCTAGACCAACTCCAAGGCCTGTTTTCCTTTGTTATGATGGGTTTTCTCTTACGCCAGTGCTCTGGAACCTTCCATAGAGTAGGATTCTTAGCGTGGGATTCTGAGAAGTGTTTTGCTTTCAACTGTGTGTTGGAAAACAAGTATTTGGGGAAACAGTGGAAAGCCCTGGAGTATTAATTCTATTGTAGAGAAGAACGGGGGAACAGACTACAGAGCCTGAGAAAAATTGGTGATCTTTGATGATTGGTGAAAATTTGATGTGGACGGAGCTCACTGTTGGTGTTATTGGCTGTGTAGACTGCCTCTCAGGATTGAACCAGGTGATGCTTTGGGGATGCCACAGAGATATTTAGATTCTGACTCACTAACTCACTAGACCCTCAGAGACAGAACTCAATGTTTTTTATCCTCATTTCCAGGACAGTGTTCAGCAGGAAGGCTTGCACCCACTAGGTACTCGGTGGACAAAGAAACAGACGAGGACATGTTGCTTGTTCCGTTTTTTCATTCCTAACCCACTCAGAAGAGGAAAGGAATTGGTTCTTAGGGTTAGTGACAGTCACTGACAGAGGAGCTCTGTGTCCCATCGGTCAAGTTCAGAGACTTTCTACTCTTGATCCTGATCGTGTGGATTTGAATTCTCTTCACAGTGATTGGCCTTCACATTTACAGTACCACAGGTTTTAACCTCTGTGTTTAAATCATACTCTAGATATGCTCAGTTTTTGCTACCTTTTTTTTTCAAGACAGGGTTTCTCTGTGGCTTTGGAGGCTGTCCTGGAACTAGCTCCTGGAGACCAGGCTGGTCTCGAACTCACAGAGATCCACCTGCCTCTGCCTCTGCCTCCGGAATGCTGGGATTAAAGGTGTGCGCCACCACCGCCCAGCTACTACTTTTTTTGTTACATAGCTAAGTGTGCTATGAATGAACTAGCAAAGTGGACAGTTTTCAGTACTAGATGGTTTAGAACTGTGTGGCCAAGTTATGCACAGCACCCACACCACGCAGCTCAGAAACCCCTGTATGTCCCTCCGGTTTCAGGTCATCCAGTGCTCTCTCCTGGCCTCTGAGGGTGCTGCATTCACACCTGTGAGAAGTGTGACTCCATAGATTCTGTCAGAAGGGAGTTTTGCGTTGTTTCTACCAGGCACTCTGGGCACGGAGCCGTCGCACAGACTCATCCGTGCTGCTCGTACAGTCTGCACTTTCGTACCAACCCTTGCACCGTGTATGTTTTGAGCTCACCTCTGCAGTACCCTGGCCCTCACATACACCACTCTTGCTGGGAGTTGGTTACAGCCCCTGGGTCATTTCACGAGGGCACTCGGCAGGAGCAATTTGGAATCCATCTTCCCTAAGCGTGTCAGGGAATTTAGGAGAGTGCTACACTGGACTGCTGACGTCCATCACAGGCGTGGGAGGAAGTAGCAGCGTGCAGCCGTGTGTTACCTGCTCTTTATCTTGCACTTCCTGTTCCCAGAATCCTGTTGGAAAGGACTTGGCACAGTGAAAAGAACATAAACTGCATATTGTGTCAAAGACCCAGTGTGGGGCTCATGTGGTAGTGTGTGTGTGTGTGTGTGTGTGTGTGTGTGTGTGTGTGTGTGTGTATGACCTCCCTTGGATAATATAGTGTGCGTTGGGTCTACCTTATCATGGGCAATGACGATACTAAACTTTAACAGTTGGTAAATACTTCTGGCACTGTTGGTCAGTTAAGTACTCATCAATTACCTGACCCTGTCCTAGGAAGATTTTTGAATAGCATGTTTTAGAATGACACTCTGACCTGTGTGTACTGGTGAGTAAAAACATCTGATTAATTCAGTCTTGCTCCTTATGAAAAACCCTGAAGCAATAGAGTCCTACAAGCAGTGTGTGTGGTGTGTGTGTGTGTTGGCAGTGTCACACAGCATGCTAGTCACAACAGTAACCATCTGTTTTGCTCCTAAGCATCTTTATATACCAGGCTCCGTGGCTTCACAGAAGCACCTTTGTTTACTTTTTGAACTGTCACCTACACTGTTAGCTGTGGCTCTATCACGGGGCTTCCAAATCAGAGCTACCTGTTGTCTGGAAAACCAGCTATGTGTGTGGGCAACAAACTCAGCTTCTTTCCTCACAGGCCTTTCCATGAATTGCGAATTCCCCCACGGCCCAGTGGCTGATTTCTAAGAGCAGGTGTTCTGGAGAACAGGGAGGAAGTGCACCATATCTTGATGACAGTCACACGACATAGCTGTGGCTTCCCATATGCTCTTGGTCTAGGTTGGCCAGATTGTGTGAGGAGCACAGACCTCTTCATGAACTAATAACGCATCCCAGGAGAACAGAAAAGCTAATATGTACCCTTACAGACATCTTCAGAAATATATTCTTCTGACCCAGGCATGTTCATGCACTCCTGGGATCCCAGCACACTAACAGCTGAGGCAGAAGTGTTGTACACTTAAGGATATATATATATATACATACATATATATATATATATATATCACAAAACTCAGTAGGCTGAACAGTGAAACCTTGCTTTCAAAACAACAAATACCAAAGCACTACCATCAGCAGTAAAAGTGCACACTTCACAAACCTGCTAGCCAACTCTCAATTTCATAACCTAAGATTTTATCTTTCTTTTCTGTTCTTCCACATAGGGCAAGCGTTATGGATGGTAATATGTTCTGTCATGTATTTCAAACAGTAGAAAATGTCTCATTTTTCTTACTCATTTAACAAAAACTAGAGAAACCTGAGAGGAGGAAACCCCAATTGAGAAATTCATCAGGTTGGCCGTGGAGATGTCTGGAAGGCATTTGTCTGGTCAATGATTGATATGGGGGGGATAGCCCCCTGTGAGTGGTGCCATGCTTGAGCAAGGTGGTCCTGTGGCATAGAAGGAAACAGAGAAAGCCATGGGAAGTAAAACAGAAAGCAGCTTTCTCCATGGCCTCTACTTTGGTTCCTGCCTTCAGGCTCCTGCCCTGACAATCCCTCAATGGTGGATTGTCACCTAGAAGTTGTAAAATGAAATAAACTCTTTCCTCCCTAAATTGGTTTTGGGTCAGTGTCCTGGTAGTTTTTGTCAGTGTTGTGTGAGGGTCGGTGGAAGCACTCGGGTCACTCCAGGGGGAGTGTTGACTCAGCAGAGCACAGGAGGCCAGCTCTGGTGAACTGACTGCCCATTGCTTCACATAAGGCCTTTTAATGGTTAAACAATCCACACCTTAGCAAGTTAATTTCTGCATACCAAGACCTTTTCTGGAGTGTTTGAAGGAACCAAATGATAAAGCAAGTCTCAGTCAGGAGAACTCTTGGTTTGCCAAGTCCTCTCATAATCAAGTTTTGAAAGGCCTTGAACCCTTCAGGAAGAGCTTAGATAAGATTCAAACACTTCAAGCAAAAGGTATCAGTGATGAAGATAGCATCACAAAAGGCAATTCGAAGCCTAGGTGCTACCACTCTGGAATCCAAGCCTGCAGAGGGGTCTGATGCTCTGCTGGATCCCACACAATTTT